GCGTTTCTCAGGAGTGTCAGTCTGGCTCCTATCGCTTGTCAAGGTATTTTAGGAGCCTGACATGGTGAGATCAGGTGGCAGAGGAGGGAAATGGCCCTGCCAAGTAGAAGCACCCTCTCCCTCATTCCTGTAACGTGAGCTTCTGGGTCTGTCTCACTTGATCCCCTCCTTCTGCGTGGACTGTAGGCTGGGCACCTACTCTGTCCCCCTCTGCCCCACAGTGGTTTGAGCCATCTCAGTTTGGCACTTGGTGGGCCATCCTGTCAACCAGCATGAACTTGGCTGGAGGGCTGGGCCCCATCCTGGCAACCATTCTGGCCCAGAGCTACAGCTGGCGCAGCACGCTGGCCCTGTCGGGGGCGCTGTGTGTGGTTGTCTCCTTCCTCTGTCTCCTGCTCATCCACAATGAACCTGCCGATGTTGGACTCCGCAACCTGGACCCCACCCCCTCCAAGGGCAAAAAGGGTGAGCACCCACCTAGGCCAACCCCTTTTGTCCTAATTTGGCAGACTTTCATTGAGGACTGGCTGTACGCCTGGCCTGTGCTAGCTAATGGTTGTAGGGGTTGGAATGGTGATGGAGAGGTAGGGAGTGAGTAGATAAAACTCCATTCTAAACACAATTATCAGACAAATGGCAGAGCCCATGAATGCTAGGATTCATATTATATCCTGACCCTTCCTCACAACAGAGCCAGGCTTCTCTGTCCTGGGCAGCAGCCTAAGCTGAAGTGGCTGGGGTGCTTTCCTCCATCCGCCCTGGTCCTGTGTCGTTCACTGGCTGAGGCTTGCAGTGAGGGGAGGGCAGAGCAGGGGTGAGGGGGCCTCTGCTGGCCCTGGGCTCTGGCTGGACTCTGTCCTGTGGCTGGTTAATGAGTGGTGGGCGCTCCCTGGGGGAGGGCAGCAGAAGCAGAGCCTGAGGCCTGGCCTCCTCCCCCAGGCTCCATGAAGGAGGAGAGCACCTTACAGGAGCTGCTGCTGTCCCCCTACCTGTGGGTGCTCTCCACTGGCTACCTGGTGGTGTTTGGAGTCAAGACTTGCTGCACTGACTGGGGCCAGTTCTTCCTTATCCAGGAGAAAGGACAGTCAGCCCTTGTGGGTAAGAGGAGTATTGGGACAGTGGTGGGCATAGAGCAGAAACCAATGCAGGGGGTGGGCAATGCAGGCCCGGCTTCCCTTCACCTCCTTTTCTTCTTTCCCTGAGGCTGAGCACTATGCAGGCAGCTGTGACCAGTCACCCTTGGGGACCCTCTGGGACAACCCCAATGTGCAACACCCACCCTTTCCCTCTCCCCACAACCCCGCTGCAGGTAGCTCCTACATGAGTGCCCTGGAGGTCGGGGGCCTTGTAGGCAGCATTGCCGCTGGCTACCTGTCGGACCGGGCCATGGCGAAGGTGAGTGGGCAGAAGGGACAGGAGGAGGATCCCTCTAAATCTTCCCAGCCAGAGCCTTAGCTGGTTTGGCTCAGTGGATAGAGCAGTGGCCTGTGGACTCAGGGGCCCTGGGTTCAATTCCGGTCAAGGGCACATGCCCAGGTTGCAGGCTCGATCCCCAGTAGGGGGCGTGCCGGAGGCAGCCAATCACTGACTCTCTCTCATGATTGATGTTTCTGTCTCTCCCTTCCTCTCTGAAATCAATATATAATCTTCCCAGCCAGAATGGGACAGGCACCAGAGGTGGGAGCCCTGGGAACAGGCAGGTTGGCATGTGCTGGTTTAGGCCGATGTGGAAATCAGGTCCATGAGAAAAGGGTTTTTAAAAATATATATATTTGCCCTGACCGGTTTGGCTCAGTGGATAGAGCGTTGGCCTGTGGACTGAAAGGTCCCAGGTTCGATTCTGGTCAAGGGCATGTACCTTGGTTGTGGGCACATCCCCAGTAGGGGGTGTGCAGGAGGCAGCTGATTGATGTTTCTCTCTCATCAATGTTTCTAACTCTCTATCCCTCTCCCTTCCTCTCTGTAAGAAATCAATAAAATATATTTAAAAAACAAACAAACAAACCTAACACTCTTGAGTGCTTAAATGGGCCAGGTAATATTCTTTAAAAAAAAAAAACCCTAACCGGTTTGGTTCAGTGGATAGAGTGTCGGCCTTCGGACTCAAGGGTCCCAGGTTCGATTCCGGTCAAGGACATGTACCTTGGTTGCAGGCACATACCCAGGGGGGAGTGTGCAGGAGGCAGCTGATCGATGTTTCTCTCTCATCGATGTTTCTAACTCTCTATCCTTCTCCTTTCCCTCTCCCTTCTTCTCTGTAAAAAAAAAAAAATCAAAATATATTTTTAAATAAAAAAATATGTATTTTTTGATTTCAGAGAGGATGGGAGAGGGAGAAATAGAAACATCAATGATGAGAATCACTGACTGGCTGCCTCCTACACTCCCCCTACTGGGGATTAAGCCCACAACTCAGGCATGTGCCCTGACTAGGAACTGAACCGTGACCTCCTGGTTCATAGGTCTATGCCCAACCACTGAGCCACACCAGCCAGATGGGAAAGGGTTTTAACTTATGTCAAAGTAAGTCAGAATTTCTCTCAGCCTAGCAGTGAGCTTCTCACAGCCCCAGCAATGGGCTGGGGAGGGTGGTGCCGTTTGCCAGCACATGTCCCGAGCTGGCCTGAGTGGAGGAAGGGACTTGTGGAGTTTGGCCTCAGAACGGCGGAGGTCCCAGTGAAGGGATTGCTAAAGACCTGTCAGCAGAGGCCTGTGTCAGAGTCCAGGGTCTGGGGCCTGACGTTGCTGGGACTGTCTCCACAGGCAGGGCCGTCCACCCATGGGAACCCTCGCCATGGCCTGCTGCTGTTGATGATGGCGGGCATGACAGTGTCCATGTACCTCTTCCGGGTAACCGTAAGCAGTGACTCCCCTAAGGTAAGTAAGGGGCTGGGCCAGGGCAGGCACGGAATGAGGAGGAAGCAAGGGCCACGGACTCACTCTCCTCTGGCTGTTTCCCTTTCTGGTTCTGTTTGTGCCTCAGCTCATCTCCTCTGCACTTTGGTGCCCTCCCTCCTGACTCTGCTCTGGTTTTCTCCTCCTCCCTCTGCTCCTCAGGATGTCGCTTTCTGGACTCTGGCTCTTCACCCTCTCGCTGAGCTCACAGGCTTTAAGGAGCACGAGGTGCCTTATCTTTCTGTTTCTCACCTTTGTCCTACCCACGCTGCCTTGCCCAGCCAGTCCAGCTCGCAGGAGCCAGCGTCTCATTCAGAGGCATGGCTCCTGTACCTCCTTCACCCACCCACCCGGCCCCACGGCCACTCAGCGTGGCAGCCACTCCCCTGGCTCTGCACTGTCAGTTGTGTTGGGAGTGGGGTGAGGGGTCCCCGCCTCCTCTCTGGTGAGGAAGGCGGGCGTGCCCAGCCTCTCAATGCTGCCCTGCACTCCCTCGCAGCTCTGGATCCTGGTGTTGGGAGCTCTGTTTGGTTTCTCCTCTTATGGTCCCATCGCCTTGTTTGGAGTCATTGCCAATGAGAGTGCTCCTCCCAACTTGTGTGGCACCTCCCATGCCATTGTGGGACTCATGGCCAATGGTAAGCATACCCTCTGGTTTCTACCTCACCCCCACAGGGGCCAGTTAGAGGCTGGGGGCGCCCCACTGACTCGTTTCACAAATGACTCTGCTCTTCCCTCCTCCTCCCTGGCAGTGGGTGGCTTTCTGGCCGGGTTGCCCTTCAGCACCATTGCCAAGCACTACAGCTGGAGCACAGCCTTCTGGGTGGCGGAAGTGATCTGCACAGCCAGCACAGCTGCCTTCTTCGTCCTGCGAAACATCCGCACCAAGATGGGCCGAGTGCCCAAGAAGGCCGAGTGAGAGGGCAGGTTCCAGAGCACCCTCTCGCACCCGGCTCTTCGCCCCACAGGCTGGGAGGGGAGGGGCCTGCTCTGGCCGGCACTGCACCTGACTTCCTTCTGCTCCTTTCCCCTGGCCCAGGTGGCACTGGAAATGATCAATGGCTAATGAGATTCCAGCTCCCTGTCCTAAGCTCTATTTAAAAGATAACCTTTGTTCTAGGGCTCCATTAGCTTCTATTTTCTGCCTTCAAACAGGAAACGCCTACAGCCAGGGGGTCTCCTACACTCTTCTCTCCTGGGCCCTGCCTTGCCCCCATCCCATCCCGTCCGTCCCCACCAGGGGTGAGGCTCTCCTGCACCTGCAGGCCACCATGGCCCTGCCTTCTACCCCAAGGCCTCTCAGCGGGGTAACTGCTACTGCCAGCTCCTCAGGGTCCAGGGGAAGAGAGACCCTCACTCTCACCATTATCCTGGGAACCGCCCCCCCCACCCCCCCGTATGGGTGGGAGGGTAGGAAGACTTGTTATAGGTTTAGCCAATGACCCAGGTCCAAAAGATTAAAGCTAGATTTGATACTAAACACTGACAGTGAGTCCGTCCTCCTTTCAAAAGGAATATGTAAACCAGACAGCTTTCTCTGGAAATACCCTTCTGGGGCCTGCTCTTTCCACCCTAAAAGTGAGACCTAATTCCCTGGAATGGGGAAGCGGACACGGACTCCTGTGAGTTTATGTCTCCTTCGCCTCAGTTTAACTTTGTATATTTAATTCTTCGACCACTTCAGAGGTGGAGCTACTGGGTTTCACGCAGATTAGAGAAGTGAGTGGAGGGAGGCAGTGGCTGAGTGCAGTCAGAAAGCCTCAGCTGTCGGTAACTGGCTCTGAGACTCCCGCACAGAGCACCTGCTGAACCGCTGGTCTGTAACAGAGCCGAGCCCCTGTGGCCTGAGTGAGGATTAAATGAGATAAAGCAGCAATGCAGTAAAGCCTGGCTGTAAACACTTGAAAATGTTCCATCATCATCATCACCACTATCATCACCCTAGGAAGTCAAAAGCAATTATGAAACTAGATCCAAGGCCCCATGTTCATTCATTTAATGAACACATTTGTTTTTTATTAGAATATCTCCCCAGAATTCCCTTATCATGTCTGTCTCCCCTCCTGGGCCTTTCCCCCAAAACCATCAATTAGGATCGCAAACACTGAGATCAAAGGAATGTTTATTACAGCACTTATGGCCTACCTCCTCCGTAAGTAAAATCTGTAGTGGAAAGGAGGACCATGACAGATACGGGAAAGAGAATAGTAGGAAGGCTCAGGGATTAGTACCCTCATCGAACTCAGCCCCCCTCCCCCGCTCCCTTTCAGGTGTACTAACAAGGTGCCTGGGACTCCCACTGGAGAGGACGCAGTAAGACCCCTGCTACAGGATCTCAGAATTTAGGAAGGCAGCGGCGGGGTGGGGGATTGTTGCAGGTTCAGCCTATGACCCAGGTCCAAAAGTTCCAGCCTTCTCTGCCACCTCCAGGGCTAACTTCAGGTTCTGTTCAAACAGCTCACACCTACACCGGGCCCAGGAGGCACATGTAAGGACAAAGTGCGAGGCTAAGGCTCTCTCCCCACTTTGGGTGCAGAGGCAGAGCCAGTGAAGTGCCTGCTTGAAGGCCATACTTTCCAAGGAAAAGTCATTGGTTTCTTAAATAAGTAAAAGGCTACTCGCTCGTTTTATTTTTAAAAAGCCCTATTATACTTCAAAGTGACTTTGGAGAAGAGCACACAGGTTGGGGCAAGAACTTGATCTGGGGAGTGGGACTACCTACCTGATGGGCATTTCCAGGGAGTAGAATGGATTCTTGAGGGCAAAGTCTGAGTAAATCTCATAAATCTTTCGGAGTAGAGAGTCTATTCCAGCTTGCCTAGGGTCTGCCAGCACCACAAACTTGATTCCTGGAGAGGGGCCAGGAATGGTTACCAAAGGGTAGAGAAGGCACAAACGTCATCCTGTGTTTGTATAGCACTTCAGTTTTGCAAAGCACTTTCATCAGCCCATTTTCGTTTTATCCCTAATTGCTCCACAGAGCAGAAAGGCAAGATTTTAAATCCGTAAGTGAGACCAAGAGTTGAAGTGACTTTATCACATCACTCAGCTGACTGAGATGAGGCTTTGAGTTTTAGCTCTATCACTTACTTCTGGAATTGGGGGTCCCTCAGCAGAAAGTGCCAGGCAGGGGACAAACTCAGGCAATTTTCAATTATCTGCATTAAAAGGGAGTGAAGCAATGGAACTCATGATCCAAAGGTCACCACTTGGCATTCAAATTTCATTTTGAAACAACACTTACACCTTCCAAAATGTGTGCAACATGAGATAACATTAAGGTGAGTTTTACGTGTGCACAAAATAACCAGGGCTGAGCATACTGGGTGGTGTGGACAAAATCAGCGTCAGATTAAATATTAACTAGCTTTGGATTCACAAAACAAACAAACAGATGTGTCCATGCCACTGCCCCAGGAAAAGCCACCCCATCCCACTGCTTCCCAAAGCTTTGGTCAATCCCTTCCCCAACCCCTCCCACTGCATCCCCTTGGCCTATCTGGAGACGCATACCTGTCAGGGTCTGGAAGCAGTGCAGCTTGAATGTGTCTGTCTCCAGCATCTCAATGCCTGAGCTGCCCTGTTCAGGAGACAACTGGGAGCCGATTGCGAACAGCCTATTTGCAAAGGAGGCAAAGCTGGGGATGCACCCACTGCTGTCAGGGAGGAGTGCTTCCCCAAACCTCCCACTGAAGTGATCCTCTCTGCTGAGGAGTTCACATTACAGCTGAAGGCAGGCAGAACGGGCTGCGGGAACAAAATTTCTTTAAAGTTCACTCGAATTCTGCAAGGATTTTATAGCAAGTCCTCAAATAACATCGTTTATTTTAACTGATGAGATGCTGTAGGAACTTTTGTTCATATCAATTGACCTGTGGCAAAACAGGTTTCATGATACAATTGACACTTAAACAACATGGGTTTGAACTGTGCAGGTCCACTTATACACCATTTTTCCCAAAAAATATATAGTCGGCCTTCCTATCCCAGGGTTTCAAATACAAGGATTCAACCACCTCTGGATCAAAAATAGTATTTTCAATCCATAGTAGGGGATTCCTGGATGTAGAGGGCCAACTGTCTGCATTGTTGTATGCTGTTTTATTTATTGATTTATTTTTAGAGAGAGGGAGGGATGGAGAAAGAAACATTGATTTGTTCCAGTTATTTATGCAATCACTGGTTGATTCTTGTATGTGCCCTGATGGGGATCGAACCTTCAATCTTGGCATCTGGGCGATGCTCTAACCAACTGAGCTACCCAGCCAGGGCCTGTTCTACCCAATTTTATACAAGGGACTAGAGAATTCACAGATTTTGGTGTCTGCAGGGGTCCTGAACCAATCCCCTGCCGACACCAAGGGATGACAGTAGTTGTTTTGGAAGTCAAAAGTTATTTGTGTCGGGCTCACACCCCTAAACCCCAGTGGTTCAAGGTCAACTGTACCTCCTTTTGTTTACTGCTGCAGAACCCACTGAGGAGGTTAAGTGAGGACTTATTGTATATCCATACTTTGCTATACAACATTTTACATTAAGAACTTTGGGTAGAGTTAACACTGGGGCCCACCATGTGACTCAATGGTTGAGCGTGGACCTATGAACCAGGAGGTCAGGGTTCCATTCCAGGTCAGAGCACATGCGGGGGTTGTGGGTTCCATCCCCAGTAGGAGGCGTGCAGGAGACAGCCCATCAATGATTCTCTCTCATCATTGATGTTTCTACTAGTATCTCTCTCTCCCTCTCCCTTCCTCTCTGAAATCAATTAAACTTAACAATGGGAATGTTACTTACCCCGAGGCTAGCATACCCACCACAGCTCATACTGTGGTTGAGAACAGAAAAAGATCCTAAAAATCTTTTAGATCAACTGCCTTACTATGAACACTTGGAGTGCGGGTGAATTTCCCGCCAAAATATAAGATGGCTGTCTTTTGGTTTTGTTCCATCCACCAAAAGGGTGGATTACAAACAAATATTTGGTAATACGCAGTTACAATCGGCCCGAGTTTACACGTTTCCCGCACTCCACCGCAAATCTATATGAACCGAGTTAAAGACGGCTCCCGCGGAGTACGCGCAATTCACGCGAGCTGACTTAACTCGTTTCCCGCACTCCAAGTGTGAACATGGCGAAATGGAGGTTCCGAGAAGCTGACTTAAGCGACAGCACACCAATGCCAGTACTACCTAAAACCTGGCCGAACTGAATCAGTTGTTCTTTTCCTAACACAAGAATCAACGACTTAAAAGTAGAGAAAGGTAAGCACTGCCGCTCAGGAGACCGCCTGCCCACGGAGCAACACCAACCCGCCAGCCTAAGAGCCCAGGGCAGGCAGGAGGCACTGGGCAGGGTTGGAGGACTTACGAATGGAACATGGAGGCCAACATGAGCTTCTCATTGGAGGTGAGGCGGGGCCGGCCGAATCGCACGGACACGGGGTAGTTGGCAGGGTTGCCGAGGTACTCCAGCACCTCTTTGCCATCGGCCGTGTACTTGCCGTTCACGTCCTTGCCATTGATGGCCAGCACTGCGTGGCCCACTGCAGAGGAGCGGCGAGGGTCAACGAAGCCCCATCCCGTGGGTTCCGCCAAGGGAACAGGGACGCGACCCCAGCCCCAGGCCACCGCCGCGGGACCCCTCCCGAGCCCAGCCCCAGGCCACCGCCGCGGGACCCCTCCCGAGCCCAGCCCCAGGCCACCGCCGCGGGAACCCCCCACCCTCCTGAGCCCAGATCACCCCGGATGCCGTCGCGCTGGCCGAGCCCCAGGCCACCGCCGCGGGAACCCCCCACCCTCCTGAGCCCAGATCACCCCGGATGCCGTCGCGCTGGCCGAAGGCAACTAGCACTCGCTCATCGTGTAGCTTGAGCAGCAGATCAAGCGGGTAACTGAACGTTTTCTCAGCCTCGGCTCGTGGCGCGTAGCTGTCCAGATGGTAAATCAGGCCGCCGGCTTTGTTCACCACGTACACACTGAAAATGGCCATCGCTGCGCCGCGGCGGCGAGCCGGGCACTGGGCGGCCTGGCGGGACCGCAGTCACTGGACCCGCCCGCCCTCACTTCTCCGCCCGCCGCAGGCTGCGCTTGCGCAGTGAAGGCTACGCGCGGGGGCGCGACGCCGGAAACTAGTTGCCTGGATTGATAACGGCTTTTCCGGCTCCTTCCGGCTCTTAGTGCCAGGGCTGAGCAGCGGCTGCTTCTTAGCCAGCGGTACAGCTCGACGAGGAAGGCTAGGTCCACGCACGGTAATCGGAGACCAGCGGCTCAGCCCGCTTCCGCTTCCGACTCCACTGAGGGGCGGGGCCTCGGGCGCCCTCCGCGGGCCCCGCCCCTTGCCCCTTGCCCCGGAAGCGCTCGCCGGCGGGGACGGCTTCTGCGCCTGGTGGGGAGCGGTACTTCCTCTCGGGCCGACATCTTGGCGAGGCAGCAGCGCATCCGTGCTCTCCGATTCCCGCGATGGTGAGTCCGGCCCTGCGGCCCGGACGCCGGCGGCGCTGTGTCCGCGCGGTGGAGGCTCCGCGGGAGGGACCCCTGGGACTGCGGGCTGCAGCCTGGGGCGGGCGGCCCCGCTCACCACGTGCTCCGCTGGGGACCGGGCCGGGCCGGATCGGGTGCGGTAGTGGGGGTCTGGGCCGCGCTAGGAGCCGGCGGTATCCCCATTTTTCTTCAACAGCCGCCCAAGGACGACAAGAAGAAGAAAGATGCTGGAAAGTCGGCCAAGAAAGACAAGGACCCCGTGAACAAGTCGGGGGGCAAGGCCAAAAAGAAGGTAGGAGTGAGCCCCTCTTAAGAGTAAGGGAAACGGGCGCCCGTCCCAGATGGCCGTAGCAGATGGCGTTTAGCGTTTTGGGGTGTAGAGTCAGACTGCTAGAGCTGAGGCGCCTGCCGCCATCCTCGATTTTCCTCCTCATTTGAAGAACGGGGTGTGGTGCATGCTACTTGGAAATTCAACAAATGTGCTTAAAGACATTTGTTCTGGTGCCTCGCGTGTAACATTCTGAAGAGTCCAGTGGGACTTAACCTCTACCCCAAAGTCTAATTTATGTGATGCCATTAAAGGTTACCAGGGTCTCTTTTACCTTATATCCTGGCTAATTATTTGGATCTTACTTTGTAGAGTTTCTGCATATTCTGAATTTCCAGGCCCAGGAACCTCAGTCCCGTCACCCTCTCAGCCCTGCCAATACAGGGGTTGTCTGGGAGAGCGAGGGGATTCTATCAGGAGCACTTACCCTTCCTTCCTTTTTGTTTTTGTGAGCAGAAGTGGTCCAAAGGCAAAGTTCGGGACAAGCTCAATAACCTGGTCCTGTTTGACAAAGCCACATACGACAAGCTCTGTAAGGAGGTTCCCAACTACAAGCTCATAACCCCAGCTGTGGTCTCCGAGAGGCTGAAGATTCGCGGCTCCTTGGCCAGGGCAGCCCTTCAGGAGCTCCTTAGTAAAGGTGAGAGGGGAATATTGCACTGAAGTGGTTTTGCACATTATTTTTAAAATATATTTTTATTGATTTGAGAGAGGAGAGATAGAAACGTCAATGATGAGAATCATTGATGGGCTGCCTCCTGCACACCCCACACTGGGGATGGAGCCCACAACCCGGGCAGGTGACCTCCTGGTTTATAGGTCGATGCTCAATCACAGCAGCTGGGCTGCACAGTAAATTGTCATGACCATGTTAGCCATCTTAAATCTTTTAACTGGAATTTAAAAAAAAAAAAAGGCTTAGGCTAACCAGTGGTGGTTATTAATATGATTCTGACATGTCATTTTTGTGCTCTGGCCCTCGAGGCAGTTTGGTGGCACTATGTGTAGTGCCTAATATGGAAGAAGTGCTGTGAGGGTGGCCATCTTGAGCAGATGGTGGGTCCCTAATTAGGTTATCACCCAGAATGTAGGCATGTCTGTTACTAAATTCATGCTCAAATTCAGCAATTCTGTTTTATGAAGGGGTATAACAGCATTGCTATATGAAAGCCTTGTTCTTTCTCCTTAGGACTTATTAAACTAGTCTCAAAGCACAGAGCTCAAGTGATTTACACCAGAAACACCAAAGGTGGGGACGCCCCGGCTGCTGGAGAAGATGCATGAACAACAGGTGAGCAAGAATCCAGGGGCTCACGGTGCAGGAAGTATGTGTCCTCTTTATAAGACTGATGCTTTTTAATTTAATTTTTTTTTTTTTACAGATCTCACCGGCTGTACATTTTGAAAAATAAATCTTTATTAAATCAGTAAGTGGGTATGTCTTTTTCCTAAGCGAGGCAGTCACAAAGGTAGTGGGCGGGGCTGGATTTGCTGACATGGCTTCTAAGCCTTATGAAACCATTTTCTTTGACTGCTGTTTGTTCCTTGTTGCAGCTTCAGTTTTGAATTGATGCCTGAAAGGAAATGAAGGGTTAACAGGGCAAAAGGATGACATTTCCAAAGGGGGGGTGGTGGTGGTGGGTTGGGGTCCTGACCCTGAACCCAAACCTGGATTGCCAGCGGCGTCCATTGTTCCAGACCCGGCCAAAAGAGGGCAGCCAGCCTGCACTGGTGCTGGAGCTGTGGTCAAAGTTGGCCCCAACTCTGTCTGGAGGGAGTTTCTTCAATTTCTGTTTTTCCTCTGTAATGATAAGTAAATGATTTTATTTGAGTAGGAAGATTTAAAGAGCCCCCACTGCCATTCTTGAGTTAGTTTGCTCACTTTCTTTAAGAAATTCTTCATAGGAAGGTCCTATTTGTTGGTTCCCAGAGCTGTGTTCCTCATCTTGGGCCATCCAGGGCGGTGTGGCACCTGGAAAAGACCTGTTAGTTACTTTGAGAATGACCTGTGCTGCATGTACCAACACTTCCTTTTGTTGTTGAGGACTACTCCACTTTCCATTTGTTGAGGCATATTGTTTTCAATTTGGGGCTACTATGACCATTTGTGTATAAGCCTTTCTTTACTCTTGGAATGGCTGGATCATAACATGTTTAACTTTAAGGAATTGCTTGACTGTTTTCCAAAGTGGCTGTGCCATTTTACATTGCACCAGCAATGAGTAAGTTCTTCCAGTACATGCCCAGTCTTTCATGTAGCCATTCTGAAGAACATCTTTTTATATGCCTTTACTGAGTTTTGAGTTCTTGATATATTCAGGACCCAAGCCCTTCATCAGATGGTTTTTTCTTTTCATTCCCATCCTGACCCCCATACCCTTTGGAAATCATCAGCTTGTTCTCTATGTGGGTCTGTTTTTGTCTTGTTTTTTTTTTTTTTTTTTCCAGATTCCACATATAAATGAGATTGTATGGTAGTTGTCATTTTCTGACTTATTTCACTCAGCATAATATTCTCTAGGTCCAAATGGCAAGCTTTCGTTTTTATTGCTGATACACACATCACATCGTTCTCCCTTTATCTATTGATGGAGAGCTAGATTGCAGTTAGTGCTTTATCTTAACTTTATTTCTCCTGGTGGACTGTGCCTGGTGCAATACCAGGCTGATGCATGGAGTGGATGGAGCAAGTTCCTATTCCATCTCCCTGCTCCAAAAGTCCATCTGATATATTGTCCTCAGATAAAGGTCACATAAAGGATGTATCTGTATTAAACTGGTCGACAATAGATACTATGCCCTGGCAGGGTAGCTCAGTTGGTTAGGTTGCGGATTCCATCCCAGTTGGGGCACATATAAGAACAAATGAATGCATAAGGAACAACAAATCGATGTTTCTCAAGAAAAACACAGTTATTACACTTGATCTTAACCAGAAGGCCAAGAAGCCACTCAATTTTGCTTTTTAAAAAAATTACCTCTTACAGTTTGAGAAACACTTACCTGAGTGGATGTTACCAAGTCCTGGTGTGTCCTGTAGTTGGAAGTGGAAAAAAAACACCCTAGATATAGAAAGCCAAGAGATAATAGGATACTCACAGCTAGAGAAAGGGCAAACTTTGTAGGAGGTGGGTGGAACCAATGCCACAATGCTAATTCTGTGCCCTGTTGATGCTAATTCCTAAGAGCACAGTAAACCGTTGCAAGTCCAGTCCACAAGAGACTCATGGTCTTCATAGAGAAGATGTGCCTGCTATATGCCAGGTAAACAAAACCCTTTTCTCACAACATACATGTTGGGAAGAGAATAAGCACAAGTTACATTCACAGACTTTTACATGGTACTATGTCCATTTATACGAGATGACTTCAGATAAGCCTTCCAGGAAGTGTGACATTTGAGCTAAAATCTGGAGGTAACTAGGTGATGAGGAAAAGAAAGCATGTTTAAAGCAACAGCAACTGCATGCGCACAAAGGGAAGAGCACAGTACAGCTGGAGTAAAGACTAAAGAGAGGCCTGGCTGGTGTGGCTCAGAGGTTGAGCATTGACCAGGTCACTGGTTTGATTCCCAGTCAGGGCACATGCTTCGGTTGTGGGCTCCATCCCCAGTATGGGGTGTGCAGGAGGCAGCCGATCCATGATTCTCTCTCATCATTGATGTTTCTATATCTGTCCCTCTCCCTTCCTCTCTGAAATTAGAAAAAAAGACAAGACAGCAGGTGATGCGATGATTTTGTGTGTGTCGGAAATAGGAATTCAGGGGGGAGGGCTAGGAACTATTTCAAGAGACCAACAATGTACTGAGGTCAAATGGACATACTTGATAGGATTGGAAGATGGAGGGGAGAGGATCTGCATCTAAGCCTATTGGAAATGCAGGAGGGGGTTAATTACAGATGCCTGTGGGACACCTGGGAAGGTAATAAACTGGACCAGTGGCTTCTCCAGATGATATAAGTTGGGTGTTGGTACTCCTAAGTGGTGGTGGGGACAACAGGTGTGGATGGAGGGTGAGAAACACTACTAGAAAACAATTCGGCAAGAAAACCCTGCAGTGCAGACTGGGTAGGAAACCTGGGAGAGATGGGTGTCTTGGGAGCTGAGGGGCATCTGTGCTTTCCTGGCTTGCTTGTCCATTGTACCTGATGACCAATGAATGTCAGAGGTTGTCCTGTCTCCATCCAGTCAAGTTCTGGGGCAGGTGGCAGGTCCAAGTATAAGGGCCACTGTGAGGTGGAGGTTATTTGACTGAAAAAGACAAAACAGGAGCCAGGCTGGCAAATGAGGTCCTCGATCATGAGGACAGCAAAGATGCGATTTGTTCCCATATCCCAGCCAAAAGTTACAGAATGCTGCCCTAGCTGGTTTGGCTCAATGATAGACCATCAGCTTGTGGACTGAAGGGTCCCAGGTTTGATTCCAATCAAGGGCACATGCCCAGGTTGCGGGCTTGATCCGCAGAAGGGATCGTGCAGGAGGCAACCAATCATCACTGATTCTCTCATTGATGTTTCTACCTCTTTCTCCCTCTCCCTCTCTGAAATCAATAATCCTATATAATAAAAGAGAAACATGCAAATCAGTTGTCCCTTCACTACGCTCAAGCCATGCCCACCTGCCAATCAGAGCGATATGCAAATTAACCCGACGATGGCGGCAGCCATGGAGCTGGAGGCTTGGGTTGCCCCAGGTGACCTACGGAGGAAGCCAAGCTTCCCGCCTGCCCTGGCCTCTGCTGAAGGAGTGGCTGGGGGCCTGGGTCACAGGGAGCGGGGCAGGAACTGCTGCATCACCATGGCAGAAGTTCCCACCCCATATACGCTTGCTCATTCACTTACTCGCTCATTCATTCACTCATTCACTTACTCATTTATTCACTCACTCAGCAAACACTCCCAAGTCCCTGGCACCAGGCCAGGCACTGAAGGTGAAGCAGGATAAGACAGAGCTATGTGCTCAAGATGTTAGTAATTCAGTAGAGCGAAGCAAGCACATGAATGAGGCAGTTGTACACACAGACGCACTGTACTGGGTTCGGTGAGGGCTGTAACTAATGCCAACTTTGTTCTCTTGATAAAAATGGGGCCTCAGGAGCCAGGCCGCCCCAAGCCTGTAGGCCTGCGCCTAGGCCCTGAGTGGCCGGGGTCCCGGAACATGACAGAGGGTGCAGTTTGGGCTGAGGGTTCTTCCCCCCCCCCCCCCCCCCCCGCACGAATTTCGTGCACTGGGCTACTCGTACATATATATATATATATAAAAGTTACAGAGTCTAACAGGTCAAAACTCTCAACAAGATTCCCCTCCAATCTTACCTGGTTGTCCCTTTCCAGCTTCCAGGTGCCGAAGAGCCCTCTTCTGGGTCTGGCACTGCCTGAGACTGAGTTTGATTCAGGAAAAATAAATGTGTCTAGGATGCTTAAGAGTCTACCTAGGCCATGCTCCCACCCTCCAGCAGGAAACAAATTGGCATATGGAGGGTACTGCCCATCTTGCAAACTCCCCTTCCCCCTCCGTCTCCCAGCCCTCCCCACATCTTCTCCACTGATAAGGCCTGACCCCTAGTGGACAGGTAAGGGAATTCAACCAGAGCAGGTGAAGCATGGAGTCCATGAGTTTTAGAGCTGACAGGTGAAATGCTGGACCTGGGAGAACCAGGAATCAGTGGATTTGGATACTGCTCTGGCTTCTCCAAGGGAAACCAACCTCTAAGATGGACCGAACCACCTCCTGCCGGCTGTGCTCCACCTCTCGAATATGAGCTGCCATCTGTGGGAGAGAGGTTGCTTAGATGGGTACAAGATCATGGGGCTGGGTCCCTTTAACTTACCTCTTTGATCACCTCGTCCTCTTTTTCCTCATAGGAATCCAAACCTTTTACCATGGATTTCTTGAATCTAAAAAGAAAAAGGGCAAGTCAGCCCAGAACCTCAGGCCCTGCCAATTGTGAAAAGATCCTCAGTAGATAATGTTTTCTTTAAATTTTTAGTAATTTCAAACTCACAGAAAGAAAATAGTACAATGAACACCTGTGCACTTCTCATCCAGACTCACTGTTAACATTTTTTCATACTGGCTCCACTTCTCTTTTATACACACATTTCTTTTTTGCCAAAGCAAAAATGGATTTTAGACATCACGAGACAACTCTAAATACTTCAGCATTCATCTCCTGAGGGCATCTATGGAACCATGAAACCATTACCACATTTATGAAAATCAATTACTCTTTGATATTCAAATTATCCCATATGTGGCTATTGAGACCCTCTTCAAACCAGCTCTTGTCCTCTGGACCACTCCATGGCTCACCGTGTACTTTCCCTGCTCCAGCCTGAAATCAACTGTTCTCCAATGAGATCTGGTTTCTTGCAGTGGAAAGTCGTATTTAGAAACAAAGAGCTGAGTGTTAGTCAAGTTCTTACTGCTCCACAGGTGTCACCTACAGCTCTTTCAGAGGACAGAGCTCCGATTTCCTTAAATGAAAATTCATACTGATACCTCCCAACCAAATCCCTCCATCCTACTGGTCTCTTCCTTCTGCCATACTGAAATCCCCAGCTCCCGACAACATCAATAGACAGTTTACTACTGAACAACATGGGGGTTAGGGCACCAACTCCTGCACAGTTGAAATCCAGGTATGACTACAGTTGGCCCTCAGCATACGCACTCGCAACTGGGGAGTTGGCTCTTTAACAACATGGGTTTGATCTGCGCTGGTCCACTGAAAACGTGTATAAGTGGACCCATGCAGTCCAAACCCATGTTCAAGGGTAAACTGTATTTAAAGTTACTTTATCCTACAACACACACACAAAAGTATCAGAACACCAATATTACTATTAACAGTAAAACTAAGCACAGCTCAAGATTTCTTTTCAGTTCTTTAGTCCTTAGAAAATATCCTTCTAAGATGTACAGTCAGAATGTTGTGTACAAAAGTTACTTGAGCCCTAGCCGGTTTGTTTCAGTGGATAGTCCTGCCTGTGGACTGAAGGGTCCCAGGTTTGATTCCGAGCAAGGGCATATGCCCAGGTTGTGGGCTCAATCCTCAGTAGGGGGTGTGCAGGAGGAGCCAACCAATGATTCTCATCATTAATGTTTCTATCTCTCCCTCTCCCTTTCTCTCTGAAATCAATAAAAATATGTATTTTTTAAAAAGTTACTTGAATTCTTATTCTTTTGTGATTGTTATCAATTTGATTTATAATTAGGGAAATTTGTCTTTGCAATCAATTTTAGGATCTGTTTTCTAACTGAAAAAAAAAAAAATTTAAATCCTCACCCAAGTATATTTTTTCCATTGATTTCTGGAGAGTGGAAGGGAGGGAGGAGGGAGACAAAAACATCAACGTGAGAGAGACACATCAACAGACTGCCCCCCACAACATACCCCCACTGGGGCTCAGGAACATGCAACCAAGGTACATGCCCTTGACCAAAAATCGAACCCGTGACTCTGGTGTGCGGGCCAACGCTCTAACCACTGAGAAAACAGGCCAGGGCTCTAAATGAAATTTTAATTTGTGGGGGAACAGCTCTCCCACGGTGCCCTAGCAGCCCTGCATGTAGTCGCACAGGCAAAGCCTTGAACTGCAGTTTGTCAGCCTTGACTGAATGCCTGTGTGATCCCAGAACACAAGAGTTCAGGAGGCCTGGAAGGCACTGAGGCCATCTCCACCCTCTCTTCCCTGGGAGGCTGCCATGAGACAGTTTCTCACCAACCCCCAGGTTCCGATGAGGTTCTGATGAGGTCCAGGCTTTCTGCCCTGCCCTCTCAGAGCAGAGCTGCAACCTGAGAGCCATGCAGCTGCACCTTCAGCCGACACCTGGCTCCCAGCCACTCCCCACATTCATGCTGAGGTCCCCCAGCCCTTTCTGTTTCAGTGTGGTCCTTTCTGGCAAGCTGGACAAGGACCTGGGAGGCTGGCACTTTGGGCTTACTCCCTTTGCTCTCTATGTAAGTAATAAACTGTCTAAACCTAAAAGCGGCTCATTTTATCATTACTGGTCAATCAGGCTCGGTCTTGTCTGGTCTTATGTGTGGTCTTAAAATGTATAAGATTAGCCCTGGCTGGTGTGGTACAGTGTTGGAGCATCAGCCCATGCACTGGAGTTGCAGGTTGTATTCCCAGTCAAGGGCATGTGCCTGGGTTGGGGGTTCACTCCCTGCCCTCTGGTGGAGCACGTGTGGGAGGCAACAGTTGATGTGCCATCCATGTTTCTCTCTCTCCCTCCCTCCCACTCTCTTTGAAAAGCAATGCAAAAAATATCAAGTGAGGATTAACAACAAAATTTATACAGTTAAAAGTCAAAACTATCCTCCAATATAATAAAAGCCCAGCTACTGAATGGCAGAACGACCAGAACAACCAGTCGACCAGTTGCTATGATGCACTGACCACCAGGGGGCAGACAATTAATGCAGGGGCTGCCCCCTGGAGGTCAGTATGCTCCCACAGCAGCCGATCCCTGCAGGCCACGCCCCTCACCAGTGCATGAATCCTGTGCACCAGGCCTCTAGTATTTAAATAAATTCCAAGAGTCTGTCCTCATAATTCTCAATCATAAACTTTTCTGCTTAACTATCCTTCAAAAACCCTATGTGGCTGGGTAATGAGACGTGAGTGCTCTTTGGCCTCAGATTCCCATCTCCTAGTCTGAGCCACAGGTGTGAAAGCAGGTAGTGGGATTTAAGCATTTCTTTCTTTTTGTTTAAGTTATTTTATTTATTTATTTATTTAATATATTTTTTTAATTGATTTCAGAGAAGGGAGAGGGAGAGAGAAACATCAATGATGAGAGAGAATCATTGATTGGCTATCTCCTGCACGTCCCCTACTGGGGATCCTGCCCAAAACCTGGGCATGTGCCCTTGACTGGAATTGAACCCAGGACCCTTCAGGCGGACGCTCTATCCACGGAGCCAAACCAGCTAAGGTGGATTTAAGCATTTCTGATCATTCCCTCATTATCCTTCACACTGAGTAGAAAGGAATAATAGATACCAAGAGATATCATGAGTTTTTCTGTAAGGGCTCCACATTCATAATCTCAATATGGTCCCAATACAAGTGGTGTCATGCGGCTGCCTGTGACCTTTCCTGGAGGCAGCCAGCACTCACACTCCCTCTGGGCTGACCAGTTTCCCGCACCTCCGTTTCTAAGGGTCCTCCAGAGGCCGAGAAGGTCTAAAACTATTAAGAGTGGGTACTGGGTCTGAAATCAATAAGAAAATATTAAAAAAAAAAAGAGTGGGTACTGGGTGGGCACTTGTATTCATTGTGCCACACTTAATTGATTAGAGTCAACCTTTACTACCTATTCTCTATTTGCTAAATCCCATCCCCAACTAGATTATAAACCTCTCAGACGTGTCTTATTTCTTTTGTGTCCAATATAGTACCTAGAGTAATGAGTCCTTTGAAGACAACAGACACTTATACATTCTTTACTAAACTTTCCAACTAAGAGGAAGCTCTAGTACTTGACACAGATCCAGAGAATTCACATTCTGCCACTTCATCCTTCATAAGCAGCGACTTACTGTGCATACTCTTGAGGGGAGATGAGAAACTTCTCTTTCATCTGAAACTCAGCCTTGTTCTCCCACCAGAATCGGTTTGTTGCTTTCTTATGCTCTGGGCTGGGAATAGAGAATATGGATAATCTCAATGATAGATTATAGACTATTGCTCAGATATTAGCCAGGCGCTAGGTAAGTAATGCCAGCTGACATCTGGGAAGGCTGGCAGGGAAATAGTCACATCTTCTAGCTGTCCGGTCTCCGTCCTCAAATAACAATGCGAGAACCCGAGGAGGTGAGTGACGGGAGGTGACTTCGAGCTGGCCGCCCTGCTGGCTTTCCCAGCGAGACCCCCCACACCGCTGGGGCCCTGCAGCCCTAGCCTAGGGGAGGCTACCTCTAAGGGTGGCCATCCATCCCCCGGGTCGGATCCTCCTCCCACGTGTGCAGGCGGACAGGCCCGCGGAGGCCCCGGCCGGACCTCACCTGGCCAGGTGCTCCAGCAGCCCCCCGTGCAGCACCGTCAGGCTCCCGTGGCTGAGGTGTGTGCGCACCTCACAGCCGCAGCACAGGCACCAGCAGCGCCGCTCGTGCTCGGGCACGTACCGCTCCACCTGCGCCGAGCGGACGGCCTTGCGGGCGGCCTCCACCTGCGGGAGAGGCGGGATGACCGGAGGAGGCCAAGTGGGAGCCCGAGTGGGGCTCCCGAGCGAGACGCCCCAATCCCATCGGGTCCTCACTGGTCTGCCCGCCCGTCCCCAAGCCGCCCGCCCGCACCTGGGGCAGGAGCCGGTCCAAAGCCGCCTGCAGCTGCCGCCGGTGCTTGCGGCTGTAGACGTGCCCGCGGCCGCAGAAGAAGGTCTGGCGGCACAGAGGGCAGCGCTGCGCGGGAGCCATCGGACCGGGGCGTGGGAAAGCGATGCGCGGCAGGTCCTATGCGACCCGTGACCCCTCACCCCTGGGGGCGGGGCGGGGCGGGCCCGTCTGCGGCTGCGCGGCCCCTCCCCCCGGCTCCCCTCCGCTCATGCGCTGTGGGCCGTCAATATCCCGTGGTGCCGCCCAGCCCGGAAGCCGCCAGAAAAACGAGCCACAAAAGGCCGGGAAAGGGGATGGCGTGCAGGTGCGGGGAGGAGCTCGCCAGCAGGCGGCACTGCCGAAAACCACACCCACCTCGGGGTATTGTCGACCCCTATTGGGCGACGCAGCGGACCTGACCTAGTAACGCAGGGTGCTCACGTGTGTCCAGCTCCGCACGAACTGCCGCAGTGATGCTCACGGAACCCTATATGGCTGCCGCTGTTTCTTAGAATGCTCTGTTTACTTACTAGAGGCCCGGTGCGTGAGATGCTCAGCCTGGCCTGCGCCCCTCGCAGTCGGGGACCCCTCGGGGGCTGTCGGGCCTAAACCGGCCAGGGACATCCCTCTCGCAGTCCCCCTCTCGCAATCAGGGACGCTGCACGCACTGGTGACCATACTTTTCATACAGGTGACAGGCATCTTGCTGCTGTATGGGCAGCTACATTTTTTTGCCCTGATTATAAAAAGTAGTACATAACATGATCCTTCTGAGGCAGTGGTACCATTTTCCCCACCTTATGGGTGGAAAAACTGAAGCAGAGAGAAGTTAAGTAACTGGCTTTGTCACACAGTTATAAGTGTCAGAATCAGGGCTGACCAGAACATGTGCAAGCCAGAGTCCATGCATGTCATCGCTGCATCATCCTGTTTTTTCAGTGTTAGAGTAGCCTTGCCAGGTTTTGATTTTTAAATCTAAGCGACTGTTTCCAATATATAGGGTAGGGTCCCTAGGCCTGGTTGGTGATCAGGGCCATCTGTGGGGCGACCGGCGGGCAGGGCAATGGGGTGGGGGGTGTCCCGTTGGCACCCACCTTGGCTGGCGGCCTGGCGGCCTGGCATCGCCTGCTGGCTGGCCCTCCCCTCCCATGACCCCCTCCCCCCCACACCCATCACAGCCATCGGGTCATCTCCCTCTGGGGGTTGTGGGGGCAGACACTCAAGCTGGTTAGGGGCAGCTCCTGCTTGAGCGTCTGTCCCCTGGTGGTCAGTGCATGTCATTCCGCTGGTCAGTTGATTTGCATATTAGGGTTTTGTTATATAGGATTTTAGAGAGAGAGAGACCGAAATTGGTTGTTTCTTATGTGTACCCTGACTGGGGATCAACACGCAACCAACTGAGCTACGGGCCAGGGCTGCGGTGTACTATTGTTATGGGCATTTTACAGGCAGGAGAACTGAGGCCGGGTGAGGAAGGAACGGTGTAAGGTTGCAGGGGTGCTAAGCAGGGGAGGCAGCACCTTGAGCCCGTGCTCTTGAGCACCTCGGACTATGAGGAGCACAAGCTAAGGGCGGCCATCATCTAAGACGTGATCACAGCCATGCCCAGAGGGCGTTGTGAGCATCACTCCTGTGAAGCAGTAAAGGGGAAACTGTAAAGGGTACAAAATCATTCCTGAGGGTGAGCAGAATTTTCAAGCTGTACACGTGTCAGTCCAGTGACATTTTTATTCATTCTTTGCAAACCCTTCTCTTAGCATCAGCAGCCATCCTGTCTGTCCTGCTCCTAAGCCCTAGGGTGGGCCGAAGGTGAGCTGCTTCTTTCCAAGGCTGAAGTCCTCAGGTCCTGACCTCCACTCCAGAGTTCCTCCACAGAAGCCTGGGGCCTAGCGCAGACCTGACTTAAAGGATGAGCAGGCAGAAGTGGCCCAGAGTCACAAATCCCTTAGATTTGTTAGGAGTACGGAGTACTCACCTGGTGGGCTACAGTGTCTGCGGGTATATACACAGTCAACTTTACATAATTCAATTTTTTTAAAAAAAAGAAGCTGGAATGGGTTCTTTGTTGTTAGAAAACCCCTATTAATGACGTCAGACTATGCCCAGAAGAAGAAACAAAACTGATGCACAAATATAATGAAATGCCCAACATTGCTGGAAATAAGAGAAATGTAAAGTTAAAGCAACAATTAACAAAGACTTTAAAAACAAAACATGATGCTCATGAGGCTGCTGTGAAATTGGCACTCTCAGTACTGATAACCGAGGCTTGGCTCAGCCTCTGGGGAAAGCGTTGCATCAAGAGCCTTAAAAAGCTTCACATCACTTGACAGAGTGATTCTCATTCTGGGAAATTTATTTTAAGGATATAATACTAAAAGAGAAAATGACAGAAAAGAGAAAAGATATCAAACTTTATTTACAATAGCAAAACATTAGAAATAGCTTGAATGTCCAACAATAGCAACATGGTTGAGAAAACTGGGTCATAATATTGGAATATTATGCAATTGGTTCTGTAATGTTTATTGTCCTACCACTTACTACCTGTATGAACATGGACCTGTTACTTAAGCTTTTTTTTAAAATATATTTTTATTGATTTCAAAGAGGAAGGGAGAGGGGAGAGAGAGACAGAAACATCAGTGATGAGAGAGAATCATTGATCAGCTGCCTCCTGCACACCCCCGACCGGGGACCAAGCCCACAACCTGGGCATGTGCCCTTGACCAGAATTGAACTCGGGACTCTTTAGTCCACAGGCCGATGCTCTATCCACTGAGCAACACCAGCTAGGGCATGTTACTTAAGCTTTTAGTGCATCAATATTTTTGTTGGTAATGAGAATAATCTCTTAGGTTATTCAGAGTATCACTTAGGTAATACTGTCTAGATCATTGACTGGTAATGTGTTCAGTAAATTTTAACAGTTATAAAAAATGTTTATAGCAATGTAGGTAAGTATTTATAATGTGAAAATGGGATATAAAACTATGGTATTAGAAAAAATGTATACAGAAAAACAATATTCATTTAAAAGACTGTGCAAAAGAAAAAATATTGGGAAAAATACACCAACATATTAATATAGTTGTCTGTATGTAAAGTAATTTTTTCTAATAAGACTTTCTGTGTTTTCTAAAAATTTTTAAATTGATTTTAGAGAGGGGGGGAGAAAAAGAGAGAGAGAAAATCATCAATTTGTTGTTCCACTTATTTATGCTTTTCATTGCTTGCTTCTTGTATGTGCCCTGACTGGAGATGGAACCCTTAACCTTGGTGTGAGGCTCTAACCAACTGAGCAATCCTGCCAAGGCTTTTAGGTTTTCTATAATAAATAGTATAAATGAAAAAAATCCAATAAACTTAAGTTGAAGATTGTACAACCCAGTGAATATACTAAAAATATTGAGTTATACACTTCAAATCGATAAATTGTTTAGCCCTGGCCAGTGTGGCTTGGTTGGAGCATCATCCCATGTACCAGAACGACCAGGGCACATACCTAGAATGTGGCTTCTATCCCTGCGGCGCATACAGGAGGCAACCAATGGATGTATCTCTCTCACATAAACGTGTCTGTGTCTCTCTCTCCCTTCCTCCCTTTCTACTAGTAAAATCAATAAGAGTTCTTTTTCTTTCTTTTTTTGTTAATCCTCACCTGAGGATATTTTTCCATTGATCTTTTAGAGAGTGTGGAAGAGAGGGAAAGACAGAGAGGAACATCGATGTGAGAGAAACATGTAGATTGGTTTGCCTCCTGCACGCTCCCTGACCAGGGCCTGGGCCAGGGAGGAGCCTGCAACCAAGGTACATGCCCTTGACGGGAATCAAACCCGGGAACTGAAGGTCCAATGCTCTCTCCACTGAGCCAAACTGGCTAGGGCAATAGAAGTTCTTTAAAACAAAGAGAAAAGCTTTTCAAGTGTGGGAACCTGCCTTGTTCATGTCTGAATCCCTACAACTAACATAAAGTGGTCTTCTATACATGTTTGTTGAATTAAGTTACTATGAACAATAATTTCTGTCACATTTAAAACCATATCGAGCATACTGTTTGCTGTTTGTTTTTTTACTCCAAAAATGTATTGTGGATATCTTTCTATAAATACTATCTATATCCTGATGACTATCAAATGTATTTATACCTTCAGCTCAGATGTATCGTCTCAACTCTGACTTATACTAGTAACAATTACCTACTTGACATAACCACCCCGATTTCTCAGATTCTAAACAAAACTGCTTAAAAACCTGCTGCTCTTACAGGTTTTCTCTCATCATTCACCCCATTACTCAAACCAAAAATCTGAGTCTTGCCTGGCCAGTGTCGTTCAGTGATTGATCGTTGACCCATGCACCCGGAGGCCACTGGTTTGATTCCCCGTCAGGGCACACGATTGGGTTATGGGCTTGATTTCCCCCTGGGGGCGGGGAGGCATGCAGGAGGCAGCCAATGGATGTTGATGTTTCCATCGCTCTCTCCCTCTCCCTTCCTTTCTCTCTAAAATCAATAAAAACAAATTAAAACAAAACCAAAAAAACCTGAGTCATTTTTTTCTCTTCCAGCATCCAGTCAATACTACCTCCAAGATTCATCATCAAATCAGCATGCTTCTCTTCATTTCTACTGCCACTGCCCAGGCACACCTGGCCTGCTGCAAGCAACTCTCCACAGGTCTTCCTGCTTCTGTGTTGGCACCCTGCAAGCCACTGTCAGTGAGTGGCTAGATAGGATCTTATTTTTAAAATCGATTGGTCGCCTCCCGTATGTGTCCTGACGGGGGACTGGGAATCGAACCCAAAACCTTTTGGTGCACAGGACAATACTCCAACCAACTGGACAAGTGGCTAAGCATGATTTTTAAAATAAAATCAGGTTATATCATTTCTTCAATTATTTCCCACTGTCCTTGACACCTTTTCTTCCCAGCTTCAGCCTGGATGAAAACGGTGGGAGGACCCATTTTGGGTTTCACCACGTCCCTGGCACCTGGCAAAGGGGCTGGCACATTGAAAACTGAAAACAAATCATTCGATTGGGGGCGAAACGGGGGATGGCAGATTTTTCTCAGCATCACTTTCCCACAAAGGCTGTGTTGTTTGCTTCTTTCTTGCGGAACTGTCGCTCTTTTGGATGCACTTGTGACTTAAAGCAGACATTGGCCAGAATGTG